TGACCGGGAATCGAACCCGGGCCTCGGTGGTGACAGCGCCGCGTCCTTAACCACTAGACCACCAGGGGCTCCCAATAGGTTCAGTAAATTAGCAAGCAATATACCATAACATGGAATTAGACCCAGTGACCCAGGAATTCAAGTTAGGAGGGGACCTCTTAGGAAAGATTTCTGGGTGCATCAGGCATACCAGTAAATCCATAGTCTATCACCTGAAGTCTGTGCATCTATCACTCGTTTGATGAGCTTTGCTTTGCCCAACGTTAAAACAAACTTTCACATGTCATCAACAGCTACCTTCAAAAGAGGCTGAAACAGCATTGTTTTGACACTGCTATGTATAATTGAGCTCCAGTTGGTTGATACTGTACACCTTCTGGTGACCATTTCCAAAACTGTACAAGAAAGGTCCCTTTAAAAAAAAATGTTCTGCTTACACAGACGGTAAATGCAGAAAAATCAAGCTGTTGGAGCTACAATGTTGCCAACAAGAGAGAACACGAGATGTGAAAGGAACACCCAGAGTTACTGGAGAGCTATCACAGAAAACAGGCCCACAAAGCATGCCTGTTACTGAGATCAGAATTCCCAACAGGTTCCAATAACAAGCAGATTTTTATTTGAGGCACCACTTGTTTTCAATTACAGCCATCTACACCTTCTGCTAACATTCTTACGAGATGAGACCTTGTAAGTGACACTATCCATCTTCAGACCAGAGCTATGACAGACTTACTGAATCCAGGATATTCCAGGAAATTAATCTCTCTCCAGGTTTCCAAATTCTGTTCAGCACCTTATTCTTCAAAAAAAAGATATCTGGAAAAAAATTAATGAATTCCCTGCTTCCCTAAATATCATTGCCACCACGATCCTAAGAAAACATGCAAGAACCCATCTTGATAAAACAGAAAAAAGTTGACAGAGGATGGCAAAACAGAAGCACTGTAGGGGCAAGCCTCTTCTAGGAGCTGATTTAGGTGTTCCAGGTTGAGTGCTGCTCTGGATCTCACCAGTCCTTGATAGCTCTGCATGGTAGCAGTGTCCAGATCAGTGTATCAACCACACTGACAATGGATGACTCCACTTTGTAGGAGTGGAAACAGAAAAAGCCATTCCAAAACTATCCAGGCAGCCTCACGTAACACAAGATCACAAGACACTCAAAGAGGAATTGAAGCAGGAACTAGCTCATTTACTCTGTGCCGATGGTAGAGACCTGACCTCCAAAGGATCTCTCAGCCCTGTAAATTGTCCTAACAGTCATACACAAAAACTACTGCTGGCACTCATTTCAACAGCTGCATCTAAATATCCACCTTCTGCTGCCTTTGATATGACTGCTTTGGTTTGTGAAACAGCCCATTTCCTCTCCATCTGCTGCTCCTATGCCTGCCTCCTGCCGAGGTTGTAGGCTGGCTTTCTCATGCCTCCAGAAACTCAGGCTTCCATTTTCCCCACTTTATTTTTAAGCCAGTTGAAAAATATTTATCTTTATGTGATCGCAAAGACCAACGGATCTAGCTACCTGAAAAGGTCTCTTCACAGTTAGAAGAAAAACTTTAGGCTGAGAAGGGTCACATGAACAACAAAGCCCACCTGGGTTCACACTGCATATGGAAGCATGCAGAGGCACTTGGGATAACAGATGACTGTTTTTTCAGCCTGAAGCTGCTTCCTCTGTATCTGGGGTGATGTCTCATGCAAACAGGTACTGAGATTTTGGTGAAGCATGACATGCTGTAGGTACCCTCTAGAAACACTTCGAGCATCGCAGCCTGGCAACTATAACAGCAGCACAGAAGAATATCAGCTTAGCATCACCTCTTTTTTTACAAGAGAAACACTTTATCCCTGGACATTATTCCAGATATAATGAAAAAGAGGCTGTCACAAGCCTTCTGAGCGTTGTTTTACAGTGCTTGAAAGAAGACAGGGTTTTGGGTTTTTGGTTTGTTTTGGTTTTTTTTTCAGGCAAGAACAAATTACATTCTTCTTGGGTTTTGTCTGGTTTTGGTTTTTTTGTTTGTTTGTTTTGTTTTTCTCCTGCTTTCTTTTTTTGAACTATATTTTACTACCCATTTTGGAAAACTGGCCATTATCACAACAGAAAGAAAAATTCCTTGAGAATGGCTGTGGGCAGAGGGAGGAAGAAAAAAGACATGCAATATCTACAGGAATCAATACTGATAAGACAGGAATTGTCTGGCCTCTTTGTACTCATGTGCTGTGCACTGCATTTTGTGGGGCTAAGCTGAGACAGCAGGTGATGAAGATTAACAGTCTTCCAGATCTGCATGGAAAGGAGCAGAAAAAAGCCTGATGATTTTACTGGTAATTTCCCCTTTATATTAGTCACTTCAATAACCCATGCTTCACTTACAGGAATGAAACTGGACTCCAAGTACTATGAAATACTAAATTGCCACCCACTAAAATTGGGTGGCAATTTCTCTGTCTTTCAAGACTATGGATGCATTTGTTCCTAAAGGTGACCCTGATCTACCTTCTAGCTTTCTCAAAGACCATCCTAGCTTAGGGTTTAGAACTCCAAGGAAGTTCAGGTAAATGGTGTTCCTAAAAGTGTTCCTACAACATATGTAGGAACCTAGTTTAGCTTGTGGATCCAGAGTAAGATGAACCAAGACAACAGTAGAAAGAGTTGGAGGGGTTTAGGAGGAAAAAAACCTGATAAAGAGGTTACAAGACATCAAACAACATTGACAATGCCCAGTGATCTCTATTCTCAAATGCAACTTTGCAAAGGAGTGGCAGGCAGGATGTATTTTGTAGTCACAAGCATATAACTACTCAGATGCAAACTGTAATCACACACCACCCTTCCATTTTTACAGTTTCGAACACAGGAAAACACAGTTTATTTCGTAATCCTGATTATCTTGCTCTGGAGACTCAAAGTGAGACAGACTGCACCCTCTTTGCAGCTCTCAAAAAGCAAGACCTGTTAGAGGACAGAAACACTTCTTGTCACTGACTTCACTTCAAACTGGAGGGACAGCAGTCGCTACAGACATCTGCACTTGTTCACATTCAGCTTGCTTGCCACCCTCCTGTGCGCCTCCCTCCCCCCCGTATGAAATGCAGCCTTGAAAGAAGTTAAGGTCAGACACATCAATAAAAACAACACCACAGAAAAATTTCAGACTCAGTTTAAGTGAGTAATGGAAGTAATATCAAAGACTGGCTAAGTCACCAGCTTACTGAAGCTACTTTCACAGTAGCTTCAGTCATAGCTACTGAAGAGGTAGAGAAAAAAATTCTCCAATAAGATGGTTGTTTGCTTGATACCTATGCCAGTCAGATACAATCCCGAACCTCAAACACAAGCAAGCAGAAGCATCCACTGTAGTACAGCCATATACACTTATTTCTAAAAAAGTATATGGCAAATAGAAGAAACCAGAACACAACACAAGAACTAGATTTTACTCTCCTCAGTCATGCAAGGTATTGAAATTCCATGCCAGACTCTGTTCTAGGCTAAACTCAAAAAGTCACTAGTTAAAATTAAAAATAATTCCTCTGATGTTAGCACAGCATTGTCAGTCTAAGGAAAATAAAAGTTGACTGATATTATGGGACATTCTGTTCAGGTGAAGAAATTTGGCTCATAAGTAACAGAAGTTTAAAAATCCACCAAAATCTGACACCTAAAACAAGAAGCTCTTAAAAAAAAAAAAAAAAGTCTGTGAAAGTTTCCAAGTATGATATTTTGAAAACATTTGCAAGAAACAACTTTTTACAAATGTAACACACTGGACTTCTCGGAAAGCAAAGAAAACACTTACTGTGGTTGCATTTGCTGAGGTAACCCAACAGGAGGCTTCTGCTTGATGGTGAATGCCATCTGAGTCATAGGGCCAACCTTTGGTGGGACCTGCACCTTCTGAGAGAAGGTCTGCTGGGCAGCCTGCTGGGGTATGGGCCATGGGGGAACAACAGGGCTCCGGCCTCCAGTGGAAGATGTGTCTTGCACGACTGTATCCTCACAGGAATTACCTTTTGTTCCTGGTTTACACACACAAAGCTGAGGTCGCAGGCACATCCCTCCATTTTGGCATGGTGGTGCACAGTTAGCTAAGAAAAAACATTTTAAAAAGCACCTGTGAAACAAAGCACGAAGGACAGTGCAAACCCTCCCCATCATAAAAAAAGGCATTAATTGTTAATGTAATTGGAGTACAAGAGAGCAGCATTGCTTAGCGCCACAAAAGATAGTATAAAAGCTCGTACAGCTTCTACTGCTTTCCTACGTAAGATTTGCACAACATCTGAACAGCTTTAAAAGGTAAAATGCTGGCGATCTAAAAAATAGGAAATGCACAAGTTAAATCAAGAAATACAGCATTATTTCAAATTTTCCAGTTAGTGGCCTTTAACACTCTCTTCCCAGCATTCTTCCTCCTCATACTCTAACAACCTACTGATCCTGGCCTGGATTCATTCCACTACTATTTTTAAATCAGATACTGCATAGGTACCTAGACTAAATCCCTACAGTTACATTATAGACCACGAAAACAATGCAGAGAAGCACGAAGAGATTCAACCTTTCCCTTACTAAAACCCAAGTGACATTCCCTCCTCTACCACCACCAAACATAAAAAAAAGAGATGCATGAGCTGCTGCTGCTACACAGACATCGCTACACCTGGGGATTACATTCTTTGAAGAAACAGACAGGTGCTTGTGATTATCCCAAGCAGCTTCTATGCACTCTTTGTACCATCAGTGAAAAGGGGTCAGATTCTTCAAAAGACAATTCGCCTTCAGAAAGGATTAATTACACTGCTTTGTGTTGCTCTATCTAGTGACTATTGAGGGAGCCTGAATAGTCAGCCTACACTCAACACCCAGGTCACAGACCTAGCAGGATCAACTCCACTCTGAATAAAAACCCTGGAGAAGTAGTAAATCCCACAAAAAAGGGGGAAAAATAAAAAAGCAAAAGCAATTGCTGATCATATGTATAAATAATACTGCAAAAGCATACCTAACTTGAGGATTTATTTTGGATATTTAAATTTACAATGCTATTGCATTTTGAGAACGTTAAAATAACACAAAGATGGCAAAAGAAAACTAATTCTCTTACTCAGAGAAGGGAATTTAACATTAAAATATAATCCTAATTAATATAAACATCAAAATAATTTCATTTGTCCCATTAAAGATGGCATACAACAAAGCATTTATTAAAAAAAAACCCCACTGCTGAGCTACTTAGCTTCTACAAACTACGTATATTTTTAATATTGTTAACGATCTTTTAACATAGACAAAATGATACGCAAGATCAATTTTTACTAAAATAGGTAAGATCATACCTTAAACCACAACATAGGATTCTACATCATATTTAGATACATCCAATTGCACAGGTATATTATTTAAAAAAAAAAAGTCAGTCCACAGCCCTGGGGCAAGTAAATTAGAGTACTTGGCACTTCAATAAGGTTTTAATATGCACATTTATATATAAAAATAAATGCACAAGCATACATATGAAAAAACTTCGTTGGATGGGACTGTGTCAATTTGGAGGACTACTTTGTCAAGTGACAACACCCTCTGACACAGACGTATCACAGTATAGCAACTGTATGTGGCACCAGAATTGCCAAACAACTTTAACCCGAGTTTTGCATGGGGTTGTTCTCACATACACCTTCCCCTCCATCTGTTGTTCAGAAACTTATCTTTTCAACACTACTTAGCTGGGCTACCTTAAGTGCATATTATGCATCTCTCTGGCAACACAAAAATAATCACTGCTTACTTATATTTGTCTATTTTTAAGACTGTGTCTTGTCTTTGATTACTGGAAGACTGGAGACCATTTTCACTGTAAGCTTGAGAAGGGATTTGTAACAAGCATATGCTGTAATATACCAGCCAAGTCTTCCTTGTGGCTTGCTTCTAAGACTTAGATTGTGCTACAAACAGTAAAAATTTGCTTATGTGCACATGACTGAAATTAATTGCATCTTGGAAAATAGATTTAGAAGCCTTAAATTTTAATTAAAAAATCTCTCCAAAGCCAGTGAAACTTAAGACCAGAACAGTGACCCCCATCATCTGGGTCATCTGTAGAAAATGAGTAGAGATGACAGTGAAAGAGTTTGGGAACAGCTGGGAGTTCTTTTGAAAAACATCAGATAAAAAATGCTTAAAAAAAAAAAAAAAAAAGGCAGGACTTTCAAAGGTCCCATTTTTACAACATAAAAAAAAAAACATTAATACTGAACATGTATTTCTGGAGATTTATGGACGTGCACCTATATCAGCCTCTGAGCTTCTCAACAAGTTACTTAAAAAACAAAAACTGAACAGAGAAGTAAGCTAACAAGGCCACCCCAAAAGCCAATATGACAAAATATACACTCTTCTAGGAGATTGATCATGGCATATCTCCTCTCAAAGGGGAAATAACATACGTACACAAGAGACAACACTGAAATAACTGCAACTCTTTTCTCTGTAGTTAAGAACCAAAGCTGTGCTTCAGAAGCCTAAGAAAACTTAAGTTTCTACTTATGAAAGTGAACTTAATGTTGCAGTGAATTTAAAACTATGAAGCTGAAAACAGAACCTGTTTTTAAATTACCTTATGTATTTTACCCCAATAGACTTGAAGATTCTTACTTCTTCACTGACAGCAACATTAACCCCAAAGGTTTATACACATATTACATATACATAAAGCATATGCTCTGCAGGACAAACTGCATTACTCTAACTGGCCTCTAACAAAACAAGCGTCACGAGATACAGCAACTATTGTCTCAGATCACACGAACAGTGGCAACAGGTTAAAAAAATTATCTATTAGATCTTTACACCAATGAACCCTTTGATTGAAATCCTTCATTAATGTTGTGTAGTAGAATATTACAAAACTGGATAAAAGATCATATTTTTTACGAAAGAATTAAACTGAACATTTTAATTTACATAATACAGCAGTTTAGCTTCAAAACTGTCCAAGACAGCTGCAGTGTGCCAAATGAATGACCTAATTATTTTGTTGGAAGGCAACAATAATGGCACACAACTGAAAAGACCAATATTTTCCAAAAAGCTAAGCTTTCAAAAACTGGAGCACAAAGTACTAAGTTCAAAACTGAAAAGCAGGTCAATATACTCCTGTTAAAGACAACTGACTTGGTCCTGTTCAATTCAAGGAGGTCAGGACTGGAGATTCAAAATAGAGCTTGGTAAAGATGCAGATAATGAGATCAGGCTTAGTGGGTCAGAAAAAAGATCCACTTAGTCCAGTCCTCTCCCTCCATTACCAAGATGGATGCCTAAGGACAGGGTGAGATGCAGTAAAAGTTTGCACCATTATAGCCTTTAAGAATTGGAGGCTCAGCAACTTCCTGAGCAAGAGTGCTGCTTTTGATGTTTAATAACCCACAGCAGCCTTTTCTGTCAGAGGTTTACTGACCTGCTTTTTGAACCTCCTAGCTTCAATATCAAAAGTTTTCTATGCCAAGGAAGTTTGTCACGTTGGAAGTCCAGGCATAGACAATATAAGCAATCTTCCCTCGCTTTCCAAAAGCATGGTGAAGGAATAGGGATTCTTTGGGTTGGTTTTTGTGTTTTAAAGAAGATGCCATCTCTATCTACTAAGAATAAAGCCACAGAGACACATTTGCTCTGGAAATACCTACATCACAAAAAGCTGAAATCTGTATTCCAAGATGTTCATACTTTTTATGCATCTTTCCCTAATTAATTGCTGCTCAACACTCTCACAGACTATTACTGGGTTTGACACAACCACATTGGGACTGGTATGGTTGTATTTGCGACATGTTTTCAGAAAAGCAAGATTAAAATACCATTACCGTTAGGCTTAAATACACCCACAACATCTTATGTTGTTTTGGGACTGATCTAAACATACTCACTTTTCAGTCCATGTGTTCATGTTATTATGGCTAAAGAGTATATAAATATTTGCAGGAGCAAGACTTAAAATAAAAGGTTTATAATAGTTTTAAAATATGTAAATATTTTAAACCCTCTACATATACAAAATGTATGTGTTTTTATACATGCTAAATTAAGCATAATTTATTACATGAAATCAGTAATTATAAAACACATCATGCATGGAAGAAGTTTAGATAATTTCTCTTTTGTCCTTTCAAATGACTCAAAATGCAGGAATAACTAACTCCACTTGTCACAAAACAATATTTATATTAAATTAATTCTAATTCTTGAATTAGGATCATTACAATCTCATTCCTATGCTAATCTTTTATCTTAATTCACAATTAATTCCTTCAAAACTAACACAACACTTATTTCCTTGTGTCTCTAGATCACATCAAGAATTGAAATTCACAAAAATGTATCTTCAGTGGGAAAAATCACAATAAACAAATTTACATGTCCCAGAAGTTTCCTGCACTCAAGTAAGTTTCTAGCCTTTCAGCCTCAGCTCCACTTTCAAGGATGTCCTTTATCAAGCAACTGCTGGTGATTTGTACTTAAATGTCCACAGAAGTTTTTCTACATAGATTTCTTTATTTTTTTAATTTCTACACATTTCTAATACTGTCACAACAAGTACACTACAACAGTGTTGTGAGTTTTGCGCTATTTCTAGTGCACCTATCCACTGGGTTTTTTTTTTTCTGTTTCCACATGAAATTTATCTTTTCTTCCTCCTCTTGAGCACACTTAGTCAAGCACCAGTTTAAACAGGATGCACTGTCTTTCAACAAATTTCATCACAGTGCACATATCAACTTCTCCCATAGGAGTGCATAAATTCTGTCAGGCAAAATACATGGTAGAGGGAAAATAATTGAAAATACAGTAATTGGGAAGAGCATTTTAAGTACAGGGCTGTTTCAGATTCCAGCATAGAATGGTTGAGAAATGATGCGTGCATCAAGTTTGCAGAAAGGGGGAAAACCAGCACTCTGGCATGGATATATCTGTGCTTTGAGCAGAAATTTCAAGTTGCTTTACATGACACACAGGAATACTGTTAAGGGCATAATAAATACCATCTTTCTTATTTTATTAATCCAAGATTTCTGTTCCTCGAGCACACAAG